GCTATTAGAAAAAGGCAAATCAGCCGTCGTATTCTTAAACGGCTTCAGGACACCCAATTTTCTCTGCTCCCTTTACCGCCCCTCTGTAGACCTGTAGTGCCCATAAGGGGGCGTTATCGTCCACTTTGAGAAAAACTGTTCTAGTTGAAGTTGTTATTCAGCGCTAAATTTTTGAACAGTTTAAAGTGCAAATTAAAATATTTTCATATAACGGACTTTTGGCTATAACGGACACTCCCTCCCCCGTATTTGTCCGTTATATCGAGGTTTTACTGTAATAATATTTTGCCAACCTCATGAAAATTGTTTCTTTGTTTAAATACATAATTATTAAAACGTTTTATTCTATCTAAATCTTATCTCAAGATTACACAAAAACAACACTAAAGTAGACCAAACTCATTTAAAATTTAATATTCTGTGTTCTCCAAAATATTTCTTCTCATTGTAGTTGCATAAACAATTCAAACAAGAATCGATTAATCTTTTGCAGGTTGAATAACGACCTAATTAACGAACCGATTTAAACGAAACGATCGATTAATTTTACACTAATCGGATGCGTCATTTCGTAAATTTGATAATTTTATAACAAATAATATCGATAAATTTAATGACAAAATATGTTACGATTTTTGTGAAAACTATTTCAAGAAACGTAATACCAATTATTTCAAATCTGCAACATTGCAAATTTGTAGATCCCACTTGGGTCTCACTAAAATATTCGGATCAAAAAAGAAGAAATGTATAATTTTATCGCCATAAAACATGAAAAATATTTGTCTAAACACGTTCTATGCATTGCATGTTCACGTGCAGAGCTATCTTAAAACATTTAATATGGTGTTCCACCATTAATTTTGTTGTCTTAAAAGGTAAACAACTGTTTGGACAATGGAAGCAAACTAATTAACTTAATTGAAATAAAATTTAACTAAACAATAAAAACAAATCTTTAATGATTAAAGATTATCTTATAGATTTCTATTAAACCTTAGAAATTCGGTTTAATTAATTTTTATTCTTATGCTCTTTAATATACTCTTTTTATGAATTTAGAGATACCATAACAATACAGAATTGCCGACCTCATTTTGCCAACCTCATGAAAATTGTTTCTTTGTCTAAATACAGTGAAATTCCCCTAACTCGAACTTCTATATCTCGAATTATCCTCTAAGTCGAATAATTTTCGTAAGCTCAAGCGTTTGACTGGGCTTCAAATGTGTGTAAATGTGTTTTCTCTAACTCGAATTTTCCATAACTCGAAGTTTTCTTCCGCTCCCTTAGTGATTCGAGTTAGGGGAATTTTACTGTACATAATTATTAAAACGTTTTATTCTATCTAAATCTTATCCCAAGATAACACAAAAAACAACACTAAAGTAGACCAAACTCATTTAAAACTATTCTGCGTTCTCCAAAATCTTTCTTATTGTAGTTGCATAAACAATTCAAACAAGAATCGATTAATCTTTTGTTTCAAACGAAACGATCGATTAATTTTACACTAATCGGATGCGTCATTTCGTAAATTTGATAATTTTATAACAAATAATATCGATAAATTTAATGACAATTTATGTTACGATTTTTGTGAAAACTATTTAAAAAAACGTGATAACCTACATTAAATACACAACAAAAGTTTCTACAAAGTTTCTACAGAAAAGTAATACCAATTATTTCAAATCTCCAACATTGGGTCTCACAAATTTCTAGATCCCTCTTGGGTCTCACTAAAACATTCGGATCAAAAAAGAAGAAATGTATAATTTTATCGCCATAAAACATGAAAAATATTTGTCTAAACACGTTCTATGCATTGCATGTTCACGTGCAGGGCTATCTTAGAACATTTAATATGGTATTCCACCATTAATTTTGTTGTCTTAAAAGGTAAACAACTGTTTAGACAATGGCTCACTATGAAAACAAACTAATTAAATTAATTGAAATGAAATTTATCTAAACAATGAAAACAAATGTTTAATGATTAACCCTACAATAAATACGTTGGGCCTGACAAGCCTATGAGTTATGCGTTTTGCTGTAACATTTTAATCGCGTATTCTTTGTAGGATTAAAGATTATCTTATAGATTTTGATTAAACCTTAGAAATACTGTTTAATTAATTTTGATAACATTTTTATTGTTATGCTCTATAATAAACTCTTTTTATGAACTTAGAGATACAATAACTATACAGAACAGTAAATATACAGAAAATCTAGACTGATGAACATTGTTATTCAAATTTCTGAGCAGTCGAAAGAGTACGATTTTGTATGCGCCAAACACTATAAAACCAGAAATAATTTGATTTTCTCTCGGTGTATTTTTTTTTTTTTTTTGAGTAGTGGTCCATAATTTATTTAGTAGATGAAATTCATATTAATATGACTTGATACTAATAATTTACCTTCTAGTGCTCTTATTTTCATATTTTCTGTTTCAAATTGTGACGAGATTATATACATAGTTTGCGATTCAAACAAATTTAAGGGCGATTATCGATATTAGAGGCTTTTTTCAATAGTCACTTGTTATTTAATCTTAGTAATACGAAGTAAGTACATATAACTTATTTTAATATTTATTAAATTAATACTTACTCATCGTAAATAATTAAGTTGTATTGAACCGAATAATTTCCGTCGGGCATTTTAGAAATTAAATGTTGGTTTAAGTGTAAAATTTCTTTATAAACTGTGTAAAATCAGAACGTAAGCTTTAACACACTTTAGAAATAAAATAAGAATATTTTGTCGCTGATATTTGATTAGTGATTAAACTGATTAATGAACAGGTTTTTACTTTAGCAGATTGACGACTAAATGTTTTATTATTTACTTATCAACGCTTTATCAATAGATCCTACCTGCAGCGCACTCTACCGATGTTTTGATAGAATGATGATATTTTTTAATAATTTGAGTAAATTTTCCGCTATATAGCGGTGTCGACATGTGTTAACAGTCTCTATTCAACGAATTCGTTCGTTTTTTACGTCAATGCAAAAAAAATGGTTTAATTAAAAACAATTTTTTTTAATTTTTAGTCAGATTAAACTACAAAAGCCGTGATGATTTGATTAGATGCAACATATTTGTTTGGTTCTTAAAGTTTTCAATAACTGCTCAAAATAAAATATTAAAAAATGCCTTCAACGCGAGGTTAACCAGCGTCCTTAATACATTTAAATCTTAAGTTGTTCTGGCATGTTATTAACAACTTTATTTAAATGTTTAATTTAGTGAAAAGTATGAATTTTACAGAAATATTTTCGAATAACAAAATGTAAAACCAGTGCAAACTCAGAATACATATTTCCGTATATTCCGTTAAAACTTACTTATTAAATATATGAACATAGTTTTACAATAAAAAAGTAATCTACTTCGAGATAACGCTGAAACGGATACCGCGTTATAAGTCAAGTTATTTTAGTTTTTTCTTCTTTAATAGGCTTGTTATACAATGCGTTTAACAGTTTTTAGTTGGTTTGATATTTGAAATTTCATTCGCACGTATCAAATAATGCAAATAAATCTAACTGAAATGTGAGCGCTTTATTGGATATGAGTGGGTTAAATTGTTAAGATCTGCCTGGGCAAAACCTAATCTTGCCATCGAGAAAAAGCTGTTCTAAGGCTAGTGGTGACCAGTAGCGGAGATATATCATTGGTAAAAGTAAGAATTTCAGGTGTTTCAAAAGCGTAACCCACAGAAAAGTGGCCGTGTTGAAATGCTAAATTCGATTAATCAAGAACGTCATACCCCTTAATAAAGTAATGAACAAGCAACAAAAAAGTTGGAGAAGAAGAGAATGAAAATTAAGCAAAAACGCTTGAAAGTGTAAATAAGACGACAAAACTGTGTCAGTTTTGCCTTAGTTGAAGTGCCTGGAGATCACGACAGTAGTGAAAAGGAAAGTTTTATTATTAACCCTTTGCTGTCGTTTGTCTACTCTCAGCCACCAGGTCTTTTTTACCGGGTAGCTCTCTGCCACTAGCAAGGAACCGTACGAATCTTAACTCTATTCATTCATGTATCCGTTCATAATTTCTCTAAAAGCTCAACTATGTAAGTGACCTTGTTACGAACCAAAACATTGCCCCAACAAATCGGAAATATCGATTATAAACGCGGTCATTCCACACAAGCCATGCAAAACACCGTGGTGAATTAGTCGCCTTTGAGAGTGAGGAAATCGACAAGCTTCGGAGATACTTCGCAGAATTTCAAATAAAGTTTTACAAATTACGTTTAATTGTAATTAGGCATACTCGCTTGTTAAGATATTTTATAATAATACTTCAAAATGGAAAAAGAAAGTTACCGAAAGTAACTGCGAACGATGAAGAGTTTTATTTTGGCGCATTGAATACTGACTCTGACGTAAAAAGTGATAACGTTTGTTCAAAATGACGAATTTACAAACGAGAGTAGATAAAGTATGTTTTTGATGCCGGTTGGCGATAAAAAGTATTGTATTAAGCCTAATAAAAAAGGAAGGCCGATATAATGAAAGTTTGCTGAAGCGAGAAGGAGCTGTTAAAATCATCTTGAATACATTAGAAAGATTAAGCAAATCATTATTGCGCAATTTAAAGTATTTTGATGTGTAATTAAAACCATCATTAACTTTGTGGTTCTTCCAGCTGATTACGCATTTGTGTCAATATTATAAAATTGGCTCTTAAAGTATCAATTTAAGGTTTGTTGGAACCATAAAATATTGACCAGTTTGTATATATGAGTACACGATGATTATCTGGACATTTTAACAATTAGTATGTAATCCTAACTGTTAAAAATTGCGCCGATGTAAATGACTATAATATGTGCTTGCTTCCAGCAAATATATATAAATTTGACCAATAGCAGAGATACAATCAAATGTTAGGAATAATACAATTGTTTGATTGGAACAATCCTTTAAAGACGATTTATATGAACAACTTGTTTTAGTATTTAAAAAATTAATACTTACTCGTCATAAATAAATAAGTTGTGTTCAAACGAATAAGTTTCATCAGGCATTTTAAAAATTAAAGTGTAAGGTTCCTTTATAAATTGTAAAATCCGAACGTAATCTTAATCACACAAACGTAGGTATATATTTTTTCAGCGATATTTAGCTACTGATGAATGAACAATTTAGTTCGGCAGATTGACAGAATTTCTTATTAACTTATAAACGTGCGTTATCAACTGAACGCCCACATTCAACGCGCTTCTTCGTCATGTGTAATCTTTACAGATTGGGCAGATTAGATATATAAAGCAATGGGCGTTTCATCTTTATAATACTTTATATATGTCACGCCACAACTTCGTAAGTCTAATGTATGTCTTTAACAATCTTTGTATTGGGCACTGCAATATCGTGCGATCATGTGGGATGGTGGGGAGGAGAACATATCTACTTAATAATGCATGGACATTTATGATACTTGTTGTAATATCGCGCGATCCTACGCGATATTTTTCGGAAGGAAAACCATGTTTACTTCCCTTTATTTTATAATCTTATACAGATATATAACGATAAAATCATCATTAAAAAAGATAATGGAATTTTATTAGTTAAATTAATTATTCAAGCCAGAGGAAAATGTCGTCATAGACTCTAATAAAATTCAGAGGGCGGTTGAATTGTATGCCATTTATAGCGTCGAAAGAAGCAAGGTTTGGATTTTACAAATTGTGTGAATCCAAATCTGGGTAAAATTCAAGGAACTGATATACTTGTATCGCATAGTGCAGATATGGAACTAGCTGAACCTATGACGAAGCCTATTTATTTAGATACCTGTTCTAGGGAAAGGATATACCTTGTCTTCAGACAACTAATAGTATTCCGCTATGTGGTGAAGTACAATCGTGGAATTCTGTATTACGGTTATGTTCTGTATTTTATGTTGCCTAATTCAACAAAACAATCGATTGTAAGGCTTCCTAATTAATGGACTCAGATCATCGCATAGTCAGTGCTCAACTCGATTGCAGGCAAATCATTGAGAATTTTCCTGGGCATATTTCACCTTCCACTAAAAAAACTGAGCATCCTGCAAAGAATGGCATCTCTTTTTAGTAATTTAATATTTTATTATTGACCGAGTAATTTTTGATATCTGAAACAGACATTGGTTACTATTAATTTTGACTGTACTAAATTCAGGGAAAAAACCTTCTTTCATATTCCATAATAAAAATGGTTGATTGCTATTTAAAAAAATATCTACGACGTCATAATTCGTTTAAAAATGGTGGAAAATATTTTAAATCTATATCAAAAAATTTATATCTTTAAAACCGTCTCAGTGATTTTTCCATAAACTGTTTTAACGATTTTATCCGTTACTATTGGGAAACACCATATATCAAGCTGGTTAACGGACACTTCAACAGTCGCAAGATAAACTCGGGTTAAGTATTTATCGGTATAATTTGAAGTCAATTCTCATCAGTTTAAAGATCGACATATTTATCAAGATTGGTCCGATGAAAAAAATTAACATCTCTATCCTATATTTGTGAATTTGAAACATTTTGCCACCGCACTTTTCGTAAAATTGCGAGTTAAATGAAAAAATTACCCGATTTTCGACGTTGGCGGCAAACATTACGATTTTTTTTAGAAAACCTGCGTTCGAAAAATTTGAAATTTATGTATAATACTGTCTGACGTGTCAACAATGGTTTCTCCGTATATTTACGCTAAAATTAATTCTTAAATGATTGCACGTTGTCTCGAAAATAGCTGAACCGATTTACACGGTTTGAATATTTTAATACCTTATACTGTTTGGAGTTGAATAGATTTGTTAAACCCGTGTTATTTAGGGACAGATTATTATTAACGTCATTATTAATTGTGTTGTTTACATATCGACCATAGATAAGGGATAGTAATATAGTTACATAGATTTGCCAATTAACGGCATAAAACTGAACTGCCATAAGCGCCATCTGTTGAGGTGTTTTCCGCTAAGGGAAACTTTTAGCGGGTATTTATTGCATTGTAAATTTTTTTAGAATTCCGTTTTTTACAGAAAAGGCATTGAATTACTAATGATAATATGTATTTCAATGTCTTTTGTGTGAAACAACTAAAAATTTTACAGATTCTGAAAAAAAATGTAAAGGAAGACGATGAAATAGACATTGAAGACGAGGAATATAATACTTATTTCCTTATCTTGTAAATGTTTATAAATAAGTTTGGTGTTTAGATAATCGACTCTACATTCTTGAAGTACTTGCAAAACTGCCATCAACTCAATTTCAATCAAATTTTATAAATACTTCTAAATATCTTGGGTAAATACCCCCGGTTATACAGGGTGCCCGGAAATTGCGTTCATATATTTAAAAGTGTGATTCTACATAAAAAATCATGAAGAAAAGTTCATATAAAGGTGTGTCCTAAAATGCTTCCTAAGGGAGGTAGAGCGCTTTGAAGAAGACGTTCAATATGAGGTTATTTCTCATTATTTCAAAAACTACTAGGGTTAGAAACACGAAATTTTGCATATCCAGCTATTTTTACGGGGCGAATACGATAATCGAATAAAAAATTAGAAGGAATGTGCAGTTGCGGAAATAAGGGATAGGGGGCGCAATTTATTTCCCATATTTTTTTTTGCTTTGATCTTTTCACTATTTTAACCTCAAAATTAGAATCTACGGAAAAAAATACATAAAAAATGTTCTGCTTATAAAATGGTCTACGACCACTCGTTTTCAAGATAAATAATACTAAGTAAAATACTGCACACAAACATGTGTATTAAACTATCACTAAAAATCTTAATAGGCTTCTTTCATTGGTTTGATTTAAGCTGTCAAATGGGTGATAAAAAATTACTTCGTACATTGTCTACAAAATTTTTTTCCAATCATGGTTAATTTTATCAAAATGATTCAAAAGATGATTATTACTAATTTTTCATAATAACTTAAAATTTTACCAAAACCTTAAAAAAACAATCTAAACAAAACGTATTAACAATTTAACAAAAATAAAAAGTTTAACTTAAAACATTAACAAAAAGCACTTAAATTTTTAACAAATAACACCAAAAAAAGTTATAAGAATTGTTCAAAAATTCCACCATCCATGTCAATGCAACATCTCACTCGTTTAATTAATGAACGTCTTACTTTCCAAAAAATACCTTGTTTGTTTCGAATAGTGTTACAACCGTCCCTTACACGTTGTTCTAGCTCTTCGACATTGTTAACTGGTGTTGCATACACTAAATATTTAAGGTAACCCCAGAGAAAGAAGTCTATGGGATTTAAGTCTGGCGAACGTGCGGGCCATGCTACGGGCGCTCCTCGACCTATCCATCTTTCACGGTAGGTTTCATTTAAATATTGCCGTACTTGAACGCTGAAATGAGGAGGAGCCCCATCATGCATAAACCACATTTCCCTTCGTGTTTGATACGGCACTTCTTCCATCAGTTCAAACAAGGTATTTTGCAAAAAGTTAAGATAAGTTGTACCGTTGAGACGGTTATCAAGTACATGCGGACCAATTAAATGATCCCCAATAATACCAACCCATACATTAATAGAAAATCTTTCTTGATGTTTCGTGGCTAAAACATTGTATGGGTTTTCATCGGCCCAAACATGGATATTATGGAAGTTAATGACGCCATCTCGGGTAAATCCAGCTTCATCGGTAAACAACACTTTTTCCGGAAAATTTCTGTCATGGCGCCATTGTTCCATAATCCAACGACTGAACTGTAGTCTTGGGATGCTATCGGTGGGTTTTAAGGCCTGCACCTTTTGGAAATGATATGGATGCAGTAGCTGATCTTTAAATACCTCCCAAACGGTGGTTTTCGGCACATTTTCTTGTACCGATAATCTCCTAGTGCTTACCGTAGGATTGATAGCTACTGCATCGAGCACCCTTTCTTCCACTTCTACAGTCCTCGTAGTGCGTGATCTTCCACAGTCGTAACGATTTTCCTTAAAGCGCCCAGTTTCACACAATCTTCTATGAATAGAAGCGAACGTTTGTTCACAGGGAAGTTGTAGGTTTGGATATCGTTCTGCGTACAATCTTCGTGCTTCTCTGGCATTTCCATCAGCTCTATCGTACGTAAAGTGAATGTTTGCCATCTCTTCGTTTGAGTATTGAACCATTTTGATTTAATTAAACGTAAATTATAGTGGTTGTTGCACTAAAATAATTTTTTATCGACCGTTTGACAGCAAAGATCAACAAACAAAAGGAGCCTACTAAGATTTTTAGTGATAGTTTAATATACATGTTTGTGTGCAGTATTTTACTTAGTATTATTTATCTTGAAAATGAGTGGTCGTAGACCATTTTATAAGCAGAACGTTTTTTATGTATTTTTTTCCGTAGATTCTAATTTTGAGGTTAAAATAGTGAAAAGATCAAAGCAAAAAAAAAAATATGGGAAATAAGTTGCGCCCCCTATCCTTTATTTCCGCAACTGCACATTCCTTCTAATTTTTTATTCGATTATCGTATTCACCCCGTAAAAATAGCTGGATATGCAAAATTTGGTGTTTCTAACCCTAGTAGTTTTTGAAATAATGAGAAATAACCTCATATTGAACGTCTTCTTCAAAGCGCTCTACCTCCCTTAGGAAGCATTTTAGGACACACCTTTATATGAACTTTTCTTCATGATTTTTTATGTAGAATCACACCTTTAAATATATGAACGCAATTTCCGGGCACCTGTATATCCAGAGTATTTTCCCTTGAAAATAAATACCCGGGTATTTAACAACACTGACTAAAATACATACAATTTAATGGTAAATGTAGGATTGGCACACTGGCAGGTTTTAAGTATGCATTTGTTCCAAGTATGCATCCAAAAACGGCACAGGCCCAAGTCCTGTTAATACACCGATTCATTCTAAAAGTTATATTAATTGCTAAACTTGAAAGATAGAGATCAAATTCAAATGTCAAATATATATATACACGTGTATGTGTGCGTGTTTTCAAGACTTGAGCGACATCTAGCGAATTGTTCTCCTTGAAAATACGACGGTTTTGTTTTGCCTATATTGGTGCCCACACCATGATATCGACTCACAAAATTTACCACGAAGCTAATGTCCGGTCGCGTTTTCTACGTATGTTTTATTATCTCTTCTTGTACTGTTAACATATTCTGTATATTCTTTATTAACGTCATTCAAGCATTACATATAACTCTTTTGTCCAAACATTATCATCTTTAAATACTACTCTACTTCATTTTCATTGAATGATAAAGGCAATAAGATTTTTTCTAGTTCTGGTACATACATTACTTCTTTTATTACGCTGAATTTTCTGTCT